ACACATCAAATTCTTGGAAATGGCGCTACACATCGCAAGAAATCGCTATGGTCTTATCCTAATTCGTTTTCCATACTAGCCCCCGGTCTGTGCCTGTTTGGAAATTTTCCACAAGAAATGATTTCTTTCGCCATTATCCTTCTGTCCACAAAAAACCTTATGAACTAGAATTACCTCTGTAATTAGATTATTGTGATGCAATACTTTTCTTGACTTCATGACACGAACAATCGCAGCTTCAATTTCGTGTTTCCTGTCGTCTTCTACCTAAAAAACATCGTAAATAGAAAACTACCTAAAAAAAAACATCGTAAATAGAAAGGCACCATTTTTGAATAGACACTCAAACAGTCTAAAAGTTTGAATAGATAGTGAGTATTCGGGCAATGAAAATGTTGCCGCCATGCGTATACTTCCCAGAAATATCTAGCTCTGGCAAGCCAAGCTTGAGTGTGTTGACTTCATCACCAACTTACCTCCCCCACCTCTGCACGCGAATAAAACCTAATGTTCAACTAAGCTTTCAAAAGCTACTACAATTTTGAAATCACACATGTGTCCTTGACGTCCCACTCCATTCCGTTACCCCCTACTCAAAATAAACACAAGTATTAGAGGTTTCACCTCCGGTACTGAATAACGATCAACTTACCTTGCTTCTTGTTTCTTTCTTTTCCGGCTCGCATTCTCCCTTGAACGTCACCAGCTGAACTTTGATTCGAGTTAATTTTGATTGAAAGTTGTCATTGACAAAGAATTCATCCGTAGCATCTGCAACAAACGACCTTCAATAAGTTCATACTACCGCTTGCGTACTGCTGAAAGAAATTTTACACTGTAAGACGCTCTTTGGTCTTCTGGCGCAGTTCGGCTTGGTGGGAGCGCCAAGTGGTGGTCAGCAAACATTATGCAGGCCATCCCCGCAAAGACGCCCCCTCCTCATTCACTCCCCTATGCCAAACAGTGTCAATGTTCTTTTGCATTCCTGTTGCCCTTGAAGGGGACTTTACGAGAATAAGCAGCTCCCAAACGGCGAATGAATGGTAGTTCAATACGCGTAAAGTTTGGCATGTAAGAACGACCTCAACATAAAACAGAACTGGATCCTCTATTACCCAGCCAAACGCTTTTTCGCTACACAACCTTTCACGACAACGTTCCGACTATCCACTCTATTAGCACCTTCAGACCATCAACAACAACTTCGGGGATTGATTGGCGCTCATTGAGAAGTACACCTTCGACAAAATAAGCATGACTCAAGTCATACCAAGACGCCTGCAACAAAGAAGGACAGAAGAGCTGCATGCAACATGGTTTTAGAGAAGCGCAAACGGCATAGGTCAGGAGGTCCACTTTGCGGCTACAGAAAATGGTCATCGCGGTCAAGCGCGTTTACGCATCTTCGTTGCAGGCCGTAGTGCCTCTGCCGAGTAGACTGCACTTCCTGCAACACCGTTTGGGTAGCAAGCGACGCCTCGCACGCAAGAGAAGTGTTGTGGCGGTTGGAAGTTGAGTGTCAAAGTAATGGGAAACACTGATGTTACTCGAGATGAAAGTCTCAATCAAAAAGTACAGAAACTGCCAATACCAGTCAAAGCTTTCATCCCATTCACACCAAATGGTAGGAGAACTGATCTGGGAAAATGGAAAACAGCGGTACGCAACCACACTCATACGTCACTGCGATTCTGACTGGAAGCATTCCAAAAGTGGTTTGATCAACTCCGAAGCTTTATTCAATTGAAGAGTTCTTTGAGAATCTGATGATGCTTAGTAAACCCCTCATTCTAGGCTACTTTGATTCACATCTTCGCCACATTTTGATTACCTGGCACCTAGGACCACCGTCACTGTTTAGACTGTAATTCCCAGCTAAGTCAACAACCTTCCGTCTCGACAAAGCTTAGCAAGGGAATATGGCCTTTCGCCTCACAACACTCACTATGAGCAAACCTTTACAGATAGTAGAGCATATACAGAAATTCTATATGTAAAAGAAAGCTCACCAATATCTTTTCCTTTTCCTTTTCGGCACAAAACTCGTTGGGCCGGTTTACCCATTGCAAGCGATTGCAGATTGCGTTTAAGTTCTCTTTCATTTATATTCGTATTGCTCTAAAAAAGCCATGTTTATTTCGTCATTTTTCAATATTTGAACTGCATGAAACACGTTCAAAAACCCACCAAGAGTGCTTGAAATGTGAGGCGTGGTTGACTATTGAAACACATGAGTATGACCATTTGATGAGTATTAACCATTAGAATTTTGTTTTCTTCTTTACGCGTTTCTGTGGACTCGGAAGTTCCTGGCTGAAAATTTTTGATGAAAAATTATAAGACGAGAGCCATGGTATCTACCCTTTCCATCACGAAAATTCATTATGCTGGAATTATCCCTTGGGAATCAGAGTAAAACATCGAGATGGGAAAAATGAAAGAACGGCGGGATTATAAGGCCCCAATTTCCCTTTGGTAGGACCCTTCCCTCCCCATCCCACCTACCATGTTCCTGAACTCTCTAAGATCCCTACAATTCTTTAAGCAGTTTTGCAGGATTTCCTGAAAGTTATCAGTTCACTTATGGGAAATGGGATACAATATGAGAAAAACCGCTAAAGGTCAAGGTCATTTCAAAAGTTCCTCTCTTAAGAATTTATGTCAAGACCAGTTACGATCCCCATCGACTAAAAGAATTCCCCTAATGGGATTCTCCCAAAGATGCTGTACCCTGCTATGTCTCTAAACAGAGCCACGAGGTTCTTTGGAAGGAGCGCATACTCACACAGTAGGAATTTCGGGTCTAAGGCTACTGGAATACGAGACCTAAAGCAAATTACAGTCGTCATGGAAATGGGAGGTGAACCAGATCAACGTTAAAGGCAGTTGGCACGATGAATCCCTAAGACGAGTAGATTTGAGACGTCTGGCAGAACGGATTTCTACGACCCTGAGCAGGTGCTGCGTAGCGCCTTTTCCAAGGATGGTACGCTTACATACCTTCTCCAACATACCGCCCACCACGCCCGCCCGCCCACAAATGGACGACCATTCCTGATGCTCGTATTGCTTCATTTGCTAAGTAAATTATGAAGCGAAGGGATTGGTATGAAGCGGCTGCGGTGCTGCATGGATATATGAGTACATACCTGCAGCCGTATCTACCGTAGCGGTTATTGGCAAGATGCCTACT